TATCACCTTTTCCGTGTTTGTTGGAGTTTGATGTTTTCTTTTCCTTAATGGCTTATTGGAGTTATCATTATTACGAGTAGTATTCACAATAACATTATTTTATTCTATTTTTTATTATTTATGTTTTTATAGTCCTTGTGACATACAGCACTGGGTGCGGATACACAGTTGCTATTAAACGATCCGTAGACATGATGCTCAACTGACAACTGATCTACACTCACACTGAGAATATGCGTACCGCTGAAATACCGCGCAGCAAAAATGGAGCATGCAGCATTTTTGCGACACGAGGGTAAATTTTACCGTACCGGTGGCGGTATACCGCGCCAGTGTGGGCGCTCCCATTAGGTCACGTTGTTCTAAAATACCCGGCGGTTTACCCTTACCGCATACCGCGGCAGTTTGGGTGGGCCTTATTGAAACTAAAATGTATTTAGAGGTACTGATAATTAGATATAAAAATCGTATGTGTGTGCTGGATTTCATTGTGGCTGTAACCACTGTAACCTAAGAATATTCTTTCCATTATTCTTACACTCTTTAATAATCTAATTTTAAGTGTTGAAAATAATATTTTGCAGTAAGCTCGTAATATTATTTATGTTAACAGCAATGGTTTTTTATTTACAAAAACGTCTTTAATTTACGTTTATATTTAGGAAAACATTGTTTTTTTTTCTTTGGGCATAGTTTCGAATTGAAAATTTGATTTGTTCTGCTTTCATTACCAAATAAATAGCTATCATCCAAGCTTTACTAACATCCATTAAATCACCAGTTTCTCTATGAAAAGTGCCATCAGCCAAATATATTAGTACAACTAACATTTTTTTCAATTTAGAATACTGTAATGGATTTTGTTGTCGGAAAATCCGTGCTTTGGAGTGAACGCCTCAAATGACTCATTGACGGCATCTTTGGAACATTTTAATCTATCTTTAAATTCATCAAGTCATAAAAGGGTTTTAGTCATGAAAACGAGCTGGTCCTATGCGAGGTAGTGGAGTGATGGTACATAATTGTTAACATAATACAGTATAGATATTTCATAGTCATATTCAATACACACGGCGACCAGTAAGTACAACACAAGACGGTGATACCACCGCTACCCGTGCTCAACGACTGACGGTTTGCTTGATGTTTCCCACAGCAAAAAACTATTTCTGCTAATTATGTTAGATAACGATGGTTTAACTGTGGCTGATTAGTTATATTTATATTCTACGCATAATTTTGTCGTTAAAATTGTAATAACATGGGGTTTATTAGTAAAATATCTTTGTTATGATACTACTTTGTTACGTGCATAATTCATCCGTCGTTTTAAGTTGTTTGATGGGTTTTTTCATGTTTTATGAGCCTTTTTACCATTTTTACAAATTTTTTTAATATGGTGTTGTGGGTAATGAAATTGTTAGGAATTTAATGAGGAACTATATTTAAACATTACCGGTAGTTTTTAACAAATAATAAAAATAAAGGAGCTAATTAGATAAAACCGGCATCATGTCACCATAAACCTGCCTCCTACCAGGTCCGAGTTGGAGACCAAACACCATTGTTCTTTTGGGCCCGAACCATCTCATTTGGGCTCGGACTTGACTCGTGAACCCACCGGGACTAATGATCAGAAGCCGGGACTATCTGTAATTGGACTCGTGAACCCAACTTTTAAAACCGGGTTTTATCCCTGCACTAATTGTGTGCCGCCTATCGGTTTGGTCTGCGGCTTATATAGTCTCGAGCTCGTGAACCCGATTTTTTAAGTCCCGGCCCAAATACCGGTTATTTCCGGATTCTGGGCCCGGACTACGATAGTCCAAAGCTCCTGAGCCTTACTGTCTTGTGAGTAACAGTATAAGCGTAAATATATGTTTTAAGTGTTATAAGACGTTTCTTTATTTACTTTCCGTAAATTTAATAACACGTACGACGCTGATCAAGAAGTTATTTATAGGATATGCACATGCAACTTTGCGCCCCCACCCCTAATTTGTCTAACACCCCTGGAGACTACGACATGGTTTTTTTAACTGACCTAGGCCCCCATTACCAAAACAAAGTCAATTAAAATGAATCTTTTACTTATGTTCAATAACATGCGACTTAAAAGCGGTTTTCCGATTAACGTTTTTTGCAACTTTGCGCCCCCCACCCCTAATTTGTCGACCACCCCTGGAGGCTACGACATGGTTTTTTTAAACTGACCTAGGCCCCCATTACCAGTCAATTTAAAAGAACTTTTATTTATCATTGACTATGGGGTCAAAGCTTACATTCAATAACAAGAGAGTTAAAAGTGGTTTGCCAATTAAAGTTTTTCGCAACTTTGCGCCCCCACCCCTAAGTTGTCGACCTCCCCTGGAGGCGATGACATGGGTTTTTACACTCACCTAGGCCCCTATTACTAAAATCAAAAGTCAATTTAAATGAATCTTTTACTTACGCTCAATAACAAGGGAGTTAAAAGCGGTTTGCCGATTAACGTTTTTTGCAACTTTGCGCCCCCACCCCTAACTTGTCGACCACCCCTGGAGGCGACGTGGGTTTTTACACTCACCTAGGCCCCCATTGATTAAATCAAAGGTCAATTTAAATTTATCGTTTACTTACGTTCAATAACAAGGGAGTTAAAAGCGGTTTGCCAATTTAAGTTTTTCACAACTTTGCGCCCCCACCCCTAAATTGTCGACCACCCCTGGAGGCGACGACATGTGTTTTTGCACTCACCTAGGCCCCCATTACCAAAATCAAAAGTCAAAATCTCTGACTCTTTTCATGCATACTCAACTGCACCTAGCGCCTGTACTAAAACTCAAAACTCTAAAATGTTGACAAAAACAATACTTTATCCATATACTATACGGGTAGAAAGTAATAAGTTACTGGTTCCTTTAACTGGACAAAAACATAAAAATACACAATCGTTTGCTTTCGTTTTTAGCATGTCTGCTGTAAGGCTCCGGTAAAACGCCTTCAACTTTCAGCACACTGTACTCAACTCATGCAGTCACTGATATTGTCAGTAGTCTACTACTGCTTCCCTGCATATGGCAATATTATCACTTAGGAAGACATGTGCAGGATACAGCGAATTCAAAGCTCAGCAATCAGATTTGTATTCTGCCTTCAAAAATTTGATCATGTTTCCCCTTTCCGTGAAGCAGCCGGGATGTTACCCATGGAAGCCATGTGCAGGTTTTTGACGTGCTGCTCGACTCACAGCGTACTGACTCTCTGTGAGTCTGACTATCTTTGCGAGAGGCTTTCTGTCCGGGATGAGATCATAGAAGGTAGGACACATCGTGGTGGGAGGCTTCACTTTCCAAGGGTCACCTTGGAATTGGGAAAGAAAAGTTTCTCATATTTCGGACCCACATTGTACAACGGACTACCCGAGAGCCTAAAAACCGTTGCATCCAACAATATCTTTAAGATTAAGTTTAAAAAGTTTATAAAATATATAAATGTTCAGTTGTAAGTACAGTAGTTTAATGACAAAAGTTGTTCTGAAAAACTTATATGTATCAGAGAAACGCTGGCTAATAAAGACGTATTTATTTATTAACTCCGCATTGTATGTTGGCCAAACCGGGGTCCATCTTGTGACTCGGCTACAGTAATTATATGTTGTAAATCCATTGTCATAAATTAATTGACATTCAGTCTGGTGACTTCGTAATATATTTTTTATTGTCGTCACAGTGAACCTGTTTCTATCAACTTAGCCACACTGAAATTTTTGGAACCCCCCCGCTCAAGAATTTAAATGACGCAGTCTACGTCACAACCCCCCCCCCCCCTTGTGGGCACCCCTGAATAATGTGGTTAACTATAGTTGAATATGGTTTAATTGAATCCTGTTTTAGGAGTAATTTCAAAAGAAATCTTTCCATTTTAAAATTGTGATAATCTTAAATTATACTATATAATTTTTTTTTCAAAACAAGAATCTCCAGATTTAATTACTTACAACCACTTGGCTTACACGTATACAAGGTGATAAATTGTAATTTATTTGGTTACTGCAAAGATGTAAGTTAGTGCACAACACCTCATCAGTGATGTGTAAAATAAAAACCAAATCTTAAAACCACCAAACCTTTGGATAGGTTTCGGCTTTGAGATTTGATCGGTGAATTTTGAGATTCAAAACCTAAAACAGAAACAACTGAAATTTTTTGTCATCATTGCCCATCAACAACCTTGCAAGAAAACAAATTAAACTTGTTTGGTGTTTTAACTAGGGATGGACGAGATTGGATTTTTAGTTCGAGACGAGACGAGACGGGATTTTTCATTTCTCATAAAATTTTGAGACGAGATCGAGACGGGATTTCCCTTCTCATACACAACGGGAAATGCACGTTCAAAATTTTTACCTGATTTTGTAACATTGTTAGATGACTGTTTAAATACAAAAATAATGATAATAGGCAAGAATATTTACAATCTTTTATTAAAAAACATCAGCATAACATTTTTTTATTAATCACGCCTAACTTATTAAAAATGCCTATGATTATTAAACATAGTGATATCAGTTAGGATAGAGTTCAACTTATCCTAAAGTAAAATAAATCAAAAAATAAAAGCAATATTAATTTTTATAAAATAGTTACTTGTTTTGAATTTTTATAGTAATAAAACATTCCTCACACTGCTTACACTTAACAAAACTTCTCAAATGTTATTAAAGTAATATTATTAAAATAATAAAGTAATATTTACATTCAAAGAATTAACTAAATAAGAACGCCTTCGCAAAGGAAACGCAACTACAGCACGCTCCTGTATTGCTGGTATTGCATTGACTTTCTGCAGGGGTTTTTTATTCTTTTTTTTTATTTTTTTATTCTCGTCTCGATAAAAATCTCGGCCAAAAAAAAATCTCGTCTCAAGTAACGAGATTTAAAATTTCCCGAAAATTTCCCGAAATTTCGAGACTTGACCATCCCTAGTTTTAACCAATATTACCTTCAAGAATATCTTACCTCCTGGAGCAAATGATGTAGAAAGCTACCGATAACCATGATGGAAGAATCAGAATCAATCCCTCGGTACATGTCGCCGAGTACAGACCTCCTCATGCAGAACAAGGAGCCCACTACAGTAGTGCCGGACAGTAGAGTGTCGGGGTGGATGACTACCATCCCTCCCTCATTGTCTATCACCCAGCAACCCTCCTGGTCCTGAAGTGACCTAGCTGACACATTCACTGTGTCTCCTGGGGATATACTCATCTTGGCCCTGCAATCAAACCATGACTCTGAGACTACTAGGTCTGCCAATTGAGCACACAAAGATGTAAGTCACTACATAAGTCAAGCCGAAGGAATGTTTCCAAGGCTGGTTCCTTAGCAGAACCGAAACTATAGTTGCTTTTTTCCCTTAAAAAAAAGCCAATGAATGATATGAACTTTTAAATAATGAGGTACCCTATCTCATTATCACCTTTACATTTAAGGAACTATTGATGAAAACATGTATAATGTTAAATATAGAGAAAAGAAGCACCATTCAAACGATGCACAGTATTTCAATCTGTCTGTTACATACCAAGATCCTCGCAAGACGCAAGTCGCAGTATCTTTAGTATCACCAGAGGTGAGGGCCAACACAAGTTCCCCACATGCCTTCAGGTGTTCTACTGAAACCACCCTACACCTGGTGTTGCTGTCAAGTCTCAAAGGTCTGCAATTTTAAGACAGTTTAGCGTTATTATCAATATATTAGACAACTCATTATATCATCTAATGCTAGCAAAGGTGGGTTAGAATCAGTGCTGTATTTATAACAAACATCCATTTTATCCTCTGGCTCAAAAGATTTTTTAATCTATATCTATAAAAGAGTAAGTATATATTTATGTATATATATTTATAAAAGAGGAAGTTTGTATATATATTTATATGTATATATATTTGAAATTGATGGACCCCAAAACCGCTCGACGGATTGAAATGAAACTTTCAGGCATTATTAGGCATTATTCAAGGATGGTTTGTGTGAAGTTTGGTGCAGATCCGTCAAAAGGGCTCCGCCCCAGTGACTCTGGAGTTTCTCATGTTAACCTTATGAGTACTTATATTTAAATGGAATTAAAATATCTTAACAGCTGGTTCAACTTTGATTCTGTGATGTTCAATAGCATTGAAAAGATAATAGGTTTACCAACAGGGTGCAGCACTATTATTTTTTAAATTTATGACATCAGCTAATTTACGACGAAAAGGTGAGTGAGCGCAGCGAACGAGCTCCAACCTAAAGCGTACGTGAGTAAGCGTACTAAACAAAATTCAACCAGGACGTGATTGAGCGAAGCGAACGAGCTCATCTTGAAAATGAACGAGCATTTGACATAATACCACATTAGGACAGGATGACGTCTGTCGGGCCAGCTAGTATATCTATAAAAGAGGAAGTATGTATGTATGTATGTATCTATAAAAGAGGAAGTATGTATGTGTATACCTTATGGACTCCGAAACCGCTGGACAGATTAATGCAACTGTGAGGCATTATTAAAGAAAGGTTTATGTGAAGTTTAGTGCAGATCCGTTAAAAGGGCTCCACCCCAGAGGGTTTTAAGGGGTCTAATTTCAGACTTTTGAAACTACAATGTTTACAAATAAATATAATTTAAAAGCAGATGTTTACTTTTGCTAAATGTTTGTAGGTTTGAATAATCACAACATTCTGTATTAGTCATGATTTGAAATAGTGGCACACTGTTTCCATAAAATGCAGCACAGGAAACTATTTTACTTTTGGATAAGTCCAAATATATTAAGCCCCAATAGCAGAACCTGTGTGCACTCAGTAACTTTAAATGCTCCGCTATCAAATAAACATGAAAACTTTTATCAAAGTATTATAAAAAATAAAAGGGATGGCTATGACAGTTCTTTGCCTTTGCCACCTGGATTTTACTCTAAGCTCTCGTTTATAAAACCAGCGTTTGTTTTGACACGTTTTTTTTTGTGAAACCAGATTTCCTTAACTGTGGTTTAAATCATCGGTTAGTTTTAACCCAAGATTAACTAAAAAATTAAACTAAAAATCATAATATTTAATCTATTTCTTATTCAATCTTTTTGAGCTTGATGTCGTTTGATAGGGAATTAAAAATGCCAAATAAATGCTTAATTTTATCATAAAATCAGCCAATTTTTTTCTAATTTAGGTTTAAAAAATTAAAATGGCTGCCATTTTGAAATTTTATGATGAATCAAGATGATTTTTTTTTAACTTGGGTCTCTATTCCTTTAGCATACATACTAAGTTTCATAATGATTGGTTGAAAAACTTTAAAGATATAAAACTGTTAATGTGAAAAATAAAATGGCGAATATCTGGTTAACGAAGCGATTTTGGAAAAATGTTATTCATGATTTTCTCTTAATTTTTTTTTAATCGGTCCCGGGTCCAGGTCTTACCATGAGTACTGTAGCTTATTCCCTACCATATATGGGAAATTCGCTAAAATGACACCAAACTTGATCGAAGCAACAATCATCAGTGGTAAGTACAAAGGAAAAAAATAGTCTTAATCCCAAGAATACCGATGACTTCATCCAAATTAGAAATTACCCTTGAATTCAAGCGACTATAATTTTCTTTGCATCATGCATTCAACATTAATAAGGCACAAGGACATCCCTGACCATCGTGTGTTTAAATTTGGAAAATGCATGCTTTTCACGCGGACAGCTGTATGCTGCGTGCTCACGTGATGGTACACCTAAAACTTATATATTTATCCACTTAATGAAAAAACAAAAAGCATTATTTATCCACTGACGTTAAAGTAAGAGTAAAGAGGCTATTCTATTTTTGTTCTTGGTATATTTTATATTACTAGTTGCTCTGACCGTGCTTCGCTACGGGGTGCGAATACATAAAAGAATAATTTGTTTGTTTAAATCTACTATAAGAAACAGTTACAACACACTTACCCAGAAACATATTATATAGACAAAGCTCAATCGTACTAATTGATTATTTAAATACAGATTTATTAATGTATTACCATTACTTTATATAGTGCATTGCATTAAAAAATATGGAAGAATATAATTCATTGACCACATGGCACAAAGAAACAAAATTAAATAGCAGAACGAAGCATAACAGCTGGGTTAGTAAATTGTCTTCATAAGAAAATCATTGGGATTTTGATGGCCTGTGGGGCAAAGCCCGAGGACTTTAATTACAGGAATTGGTGAAAGGGGGCGTCTACAAAAAAAAAAAAAAAAACTTAATTTTGACACATCGTTTATAAAAATCTGTCCATTATTAATATAGGAGTAGTGTTTCGTAGAAATCACCTTCACGTATAAGGATTTATTGTAAACAACAGATTGCTTGTTAAGCGCAGCAACGCGCGCTCCGAGTAACTGCTAGTAGTTTATATGTTGTCAAATTAAGATATTGTGTTTTTGCATGGAAAAGAAATGTGGGTTGACCATACAAAAATAGTATGTATTCAGGTTGAAATACATCCTCAAAAGGAAAAGACTTTCTTCCAAAAGGAAGAAAGTAGCGTATCATACTATCATATGATACTAAGATTTTCTCAACGATTGTACAAAGTAAATCATCTCAAGGATATAAGAGGTCAATTGCCTTTACGGAAGCTATACTGTAATAGAGGGAACATACTTTAACCTTTTGAGAGAATTATGCAAGACATCCAGCAAAAAAATTGGCAAGATTCGGTCATTAAAGATGAAGCTTTGACGTTAGATAACTTAAGCCTTATAAAAAGTTAAAAAAAAATTATCTAAAAGTGATACTTACTCTTTGAAAGTAGATTCAAAGAATGTAGAATCATAAAACAAGTTTTCAATATCGTCTTCAATAAGACTATTATTGTCTGTCACCTGAGCGTGCTTATATTCTTCAAAATTGACATTATTAAAAGGTATGGTGCTAAATAATGCTTGAGAATCAAATAAGGGATGGAGACTTTTTTCCCCAAGTAATTGTTCAACACTTCTGGCACCATCAAACGAGTTTTCAATTTTATTTACATTATTGCTGATTTCTTTGGCATTTGTTGCAATTTCATTTTCATTATTGATTACGTCTTTTAAATTTGTTGCAGTTGTTTTCTTACTAATAAAAACGTCTTTGACATTGGTTGCAGTTTTGTTTTTCAAACTTCTAGATGGTTCAGACGTATTACAATCCGTCCCCAAATTATAGTTTGTAGTATTTTTACTGTTAACAACTATAAACTCATTTGATGTATTTTCAATCTTGCTGTGAATGCTGTTATGAGTTATGTTTGATTCATTAATTTTTTCTGTCTTTTTCTTATCTTTTTTCACATCATTGATACATTTAGGAGGTTTACGTGAAGAATCTTCATTAGTGTAAAGTTTAGAAAACAATTTTGAAGGGTTTTCACCTACAACATCACTCTTTTGTACACTGATAACATTTTCTTTTAAAATATTTTCGTCGGGATTATTTTGTTGATGGCATGTAAGATCATTATCAAAATTGCTCTGGTTTAAAGATGGTTTCTTATTTGATTGTATTTTGACATCAAAACTGCATTTTCGCTTGACAGGTTTTATATTGTGTTTTTGTTGCTTATTTTTTATTGGTGGTGTAGGGCATATAACCTCAGGGCTATCTACAACAACTTTTGATTTACAATCACTTGATTTAGAAGAAAATTCGTTGGAAGAATCACACTCCAATAAACGGTGTTTTACTTTTGACGAAGAATCTTCATTTGTGTTGCATTGACTGCAAATATTGGAGCTGGGAGAAGATTTGTGAAGACATTGGGGACAGAGATTTTCACCCGAGGATCTGCCATGGGCCTTACCGTCAGATATTTCTTTTCCAAAAACAAACTCTGTTTCTTCTTCTTTTTTTAAAGTGGGGGATTTCGATGAAACAAAAAAAGTTGATATTTTTTGTTGCTTGACACCACCGTTCTGGAAAGCATAAGTTTGATTAATTTAACAGCAGAGGTTTTATTCTAAAAACATCTCAAACATTAAAAAGTATAAACACAATATGTAGGCAAATCAGATATGTCTCATCATCACTAGTCATAGAGTTTCAACAATCTTATACATTAAAACATGGGAAGGTTTTTTTTATTCAACAATTCTGAGACTTATTGGATTTTCATGATTCTCGTGTTGAACGAAAGATTATTTTGAAAGGAAAGGAATGTCGAAGACATAATTTTAATGTTGGGGGGTTAAGTTTACTAGGTGGTGTTCATAGACTCGTCCACAAAATTGAGTGTAGTTATCAGGACATTTTATTGACATTGACCCTCACCATCAAGTTTCAAAATTATTTTTACCTAAAGTATCAAACACTGTAGAGATCAATTTGTGTATGGATACAAATTTAGGGTGATAAAAATAGCTGCAAATTATTTCCCAGTGAAGAGAAGCAATTTTTTTAACACAGAGATGTGATTATCTGAGCCCTGCATTTACATTTTAAGCTTAAAACCTCTGGGATGGTGGTATTTACTTTTTCTCAAACAGGGCAGTACAGTTTCAGCTAGTGATTACATTTAACCCAAACAGTTCCGGCTTATACCATTTTGGTTACTTATAACTGCCTGACAGTTAAACTTTATGTGATGATAAGTATACAAATGAAAACACAAAAGATAATGTAACATTCACTTATATCCCAAGACCTCCAGAAAAATAACAATTAGAGTAATATATTTTTCCTACAGTCACCTGACAAAGTGGCCTCCTTGCACTGATTATAGCACAGAAAGTTGCTAATTGCTGCATCTACTTACTTTTGCTGCACACTTTTTTTTTAGCCGCACACCATTATTCTAACAAAAAAACACAAAACAGCGTGCTTTTATTAGGCACGTAATATGTGTACGCTTGAAAATAAGTTGGCAACACCTAAAGATATTACTACTACGATCAGCTGGTGCAGCATTTCCCATTTTGTTCAATAATTGTATTTAACCTAACCTAAAAACGTAACAGTGTTGTACAGTGTTTGCAAGACTAATTATTTATATGCTTTATAGTATCTGTAGGAAAAATATAATGTGTAGCAAACTCGGGGGGTAGTGTGTGAGTGCAAACTCGAGAAACTTTCCACACTCGCCTACGGCTTGTGCTTGAACATTTTCCTCGTATGCAGCAAAATGCCACTTTGCCCTCTAGTTACACATATAACTAATAGCTAAACAATTGAACATAAATACAATATGAATTTTTTTGAATGGACAATTAATCTCAACGAATGTGAAGATTTCAAACTGAAACAAATGGTCATAGCAGAGATACAAAAAGGTGATCTTCGACTAATACAGGTATCTTTCTCTAGACCGAGTTTTTGTTAATATCTTCTGGAAATACTGGGTCGAAAGCAGCCCATCCATCGTTTGGACACGGCTTACAGCAACATACCTCAACCCAGCACTGGATTATCATAGTCCAATATCAACAACTGCTTGTTTCAGGGCCATGCCTTGGGATTGTGAGAGAATAGGTAAGTGTCAATGGAAATTGTTTTCAGGTACACTTAATGCCACGTTTTACAAATTGAGTTGCAATGAACATGAACATGGGACAATCGATAGGCTGCATGTCCAAATGTTATAAGACTAAAATATCGTGGACAGTGCCAACAGCACCATTGACTAATCCTGCATTGGTCCATAAGTTGTGGCTTAGCATGACGTTACATCCTTTGGCTACTGAGGATGTTTTCAAGTGATTGACTCTCATCGGAACCAATGAATACAATCTGAACACACTGTTGCGGCTATTGAAGGTTTGTTTATGGCACGAATGAATGCCGAAGGACTTTGCCACGTCTTCTTTTCTTGCCATGATACGAACAACGTTGCTAAGTTATGATTTTTTGATATTTTTTATATGAATTGTTAAGAAAAGAGTCTATAATCTTCCTCTGTTATCGTTCTATGAGCAATACAGTGGAACCTTGATGAAGGCCCTCGATAACAAGTTATCCTTGATAACAAGTGCAATTTTCAAATCCCCTTGAAATTATTTTACCCCTAACCACATGTTATTGCAAACCTCAATAAGAAGTCAACCTTGATAACAAGTATTATTTAATAATCCCCAAGAGAGTCTTGTTATCGATGTTCTACTGTATTAGTAAGAGCATTACGAAATGACTTTGCTCTTCGCCAGATTGACGCGTGATAGTTTTTAGTTGGAAGATTGTTGAATGTGTTCGTTTACAATATGTCCTTCTGTATGTAGCACTGATTTGAAAGATCAGATGGCATGAATAAATACCGATCTTGCACCGATAAATCCATATAATCACACAGATATGCAATAAAGACCACCATCTTGGTTGTCAGGTTTCGCTTGACGTAAGGGTTTGTCGATCATTCATTGCCAGTAGCTTATGACCACACATAGATCATTTCAAAGTAAACTACAACACAGAGTTTTTCGAACAAAATCTGAAGATTTAGTTTATTATCCCCCTGTAGCTCATTTAAATTTGGTATATTCAATCTTAGGGTTGAGTTAATGGTTTGGCCATTAACATTAGAAGCAGCATAACCAGTTGGGGCTAATACGAGAACACTCCCGTCACCATGGGTTGATTCTATTGTTTTTGCAATGGTCCCAAAGCTGGTAAAAATCCAGTTTCCGTCCTACCGCCCTTGAAAGTGCCTATGTCAATACCTTTTTGTAGCTGCAGTTAACAAAAACAGCTGCTACAGGTTATTTTTATTGTGACCATTTCATTTTACGTGTAAACAAAAGTAATTGTATTGGTTAGTTTGGACTTAAGTTTTGAAGGATACCGTATGCCTAGTTGTATTTAGTTTTGTTTATTAGGTACATATTATTGTTGAATGTTTTCAAAGTTAATTTTTAAGATTAAGAATGAAAAGCAGAAGACCTTTGAAGCGAAAATATACTGAATCTGCAAGGGAGAGAAGCTACGATCGATCGTCAGGAAAACAATTTGACCACTTCATCTACAACTGAGCCAGTTCCAAATAGCTCATGCATCCCACCAAATGTCTCAGAACCTCGGCCTAGTTGCGCAACGAAGATTATAAGTAGAGAAATATAGATTAGAGTTTTGTCTGTACATTGCTCAGTCAGAATTATAAATTTTTAGGTTATTTTTACATTTTATACATTATAGAAGCAGAAACAAGTCTTATCCCTATTTCTGTCTCCCTGTCTGTCTGTCTTTCTGTCTGTCTGTAACACTCAAGATGGCATTTTACGCTATATTCTCCATGAAAACGAAAGGACCTATCAAGATCCAAGTCATTTTATTGTATTCACTGGATTAGTGAGAGTGTCTTTAGCCATTAAAATATGGCCTCACTAATTTGTAAATAAAATTACGGACGTTCAAAAATGCAGTTTTGTGAAATTTTTGTCAAAATTTTGTTCAATGTTTATCACATAATCATCTAAAGCGTAGCAAATTCATTAATTAAATTCTGTATTTTTGTGTATGTCTGTTGGTAACGAATTAATGTCCTTATTTCTCAGTGTTTCACGGAATGGACAAGAGCACCTTTGATAATGAAAATGTCAACCGGAATAAAGTGTTAAATGGTGAGGTTGAGGTGAGGTAGTACTTTAAATACGTTTAACCATTGTGGAAAGTAACTTTCAATTATAGGCCTACCTTAGGGCTATGCCTCATGGATCTATAATGCATTTTTTAGTTTAATCATTGGATTTAACATATGGACCTTTAATCATTGGATTTAACATATGGACCAACACGATCCGGGTGACATTTATCCGGACAAAGCACTTATTTTGGCTTGAACTGTCAGATACTACTGTTTTTGTGAAGGTTTATATACAGAGTTAGGCAAAAGTCTGGAACCGCCCAGTCAACTTTTTAACGCGTTGCAGTAGGAAAACCAAACTCTGCACATATTTACAACATAAGAAATTGCACTTTTTCATCAAAGTTACAACTCTGCCCCAGCCCCCAAAATGGGGTATTTTGGGCAGCCCCAAATTTTCAAATGTAAACACCTATCATGTGACCCCTAATTTTAAATGGTTTATGAAGAGAAATTAAATGGTGCAAACCAGAGGTCAATATCGCTAATCAAAATGGCAGCCATTTTAATTATTTAAGATGAGCAAGCAAGATTAAGTTTGGACACCACCAGTTAACTTAAAAAATTTAATATTGTAATACTGACCTAAAGGTGAATTCTCTTTTTTTATTAAGGTATGCTGAGTTTAGTTTTCCTGATATAACCTGTTCACAAGTTAATAGGGGATATTTCAAAATGACTGCCATTTTGATTAGGGGTGCGATATTGACCTCTAGTTTGCGCCATTTAATTTGTCTTGAGAAACTCTTTAAAATAAGGGGTCACATGATAGGTGTTTACATGAAAATTTGGAGCTGCCCCCCAAAATACCACAATTTCTCTTGATAAACCCTTTAAAATGAGGGGGTCACATGATAGGTGTTTACTTTTGAAAATTTGAGGCTGTCCCCAAAATACCCCATTTTGGGGGCAGGGGCAAAGTTGTATTTTTGATGAAAAAGTGTGATTTCTTATGTTGTAAATATGTGCCGAGTTTGGTTTTTCTACTGAGACGCATTAAAAAGTTAACTGGGGGCTTCCAGACTTTTGCCTAACCCTATATAATAGTTTAGCCAGCATATCTGCAAATATGCACACCAACTGCTGTTTTTAATATAAGAAGGTTTCAGGGTCATTCCATGCCAAATCAACATAACATAACATAACATAATTTGACCATTATGTTAGGACCTTGACCTCTCAGATTTGCTTGATTTTTTGTATGCAGGTTCTACTAACCAAGACTAGTAAAAATATAAATTTTTAGATTTTTCTGACTTATGGTTTTTGAGTTACAAAGCTTTAAAAATCCCAAAATCAACGTTTTCGAGCTGCGTTTTGAAATTGTTAATATTGTATAACTCAAAA